CACTCACTAATCACTCCCTCACTTACAAAACAAATTACGCTTCCGCAAACACTAACTAAGACTCAACATTTTCGCGGTAATTAATCCGGTGATCAAGAGATGAACCCTATTCATGGATTCCTTGCTGCAATAGCTGTAATATGCCCAGAGAACTAAGAGGAAGAAGTAAGCAAGAGAGAACTCGAAGAATAGTGGAATTAGCCTCGATTGTCCATCGGAGAGGTAATTTTTGGAGCCGTCAGAATCGAGATTGTACAACTCGGTATGGACATTCATGGATACATGGGTCTCTGAATAGCAGTTGGCAAAGAACGTTGTATAATCGGCGACGTGGCGAAAACGGATAGTAACTTTGTAATTAAGTCGGGAGCCGTAGAAACTTGATAGAGAAATAAAACGAAGAACTATAAAAGGATACGAGAAATTTACGTGGTTCGGTCCGAATGTCGGAATTTACGTCCACGGGGAGAACCGGCAAATAATCCACTAATAAATTAGAGAATTACATGATTACAATCACTCACGCTCAAGTGTTTCCCAGCCCTAATATATATACCCAATAGCTACGGTGTTTAATAACTCAACTCAATGGACTCTCCCTACGCACAAGTCCCTCCGAGCTCACGCCTCTCTTCTCTTGAGCTCTCAACGTCTCTGGACTTCCCTTCCCTCTTAGCTTTTTTTTTACGTTCTCTGCGTTTCCACCTTTTATAGATGAAAGAATGGAGAAACAAGACAAATGGCGCTCATCTTCAGAAGCCATGCGTCTCCATGCAATTAATGATAGCATGTGCGTATGACCATCATGCACAGCCACGAGAAAAAAATGACCATAGCTTCTGTCTTCCCCCCTTCTTCTTTTAATAACAAAAGGACAAAGAAAGTCCACAAAAGTTGACCAAATATAGAGAGAAAGAGGACAGTGGCTATCACTTTTTCCTCTATGGGCATGCATTCACATCATGTGCATGCATTTATGAGGCAGAAGAAAAATGAACGTGAAGGCATGCACATAAACCCATGTGCAGAAGATTTGTCCATTTAATGCTTGACGCTGTTCTTGTTGAATGCTACACGGATGTTTTTCTCCTTTCCAGAGTATTAATAAACATTGAGCGTGCGGATTGGGTATCGTGTACGGGCTCAAATTCGAGACACAATTTAACACAGGGAGTATACGCCAGGATAAGTAACAGGATAGGTTCTGTTAAAGAAGCATGGTGGCGGAGGCAGGTCGCAGAAGGTGAAGAGAGTGATGATGTAGCCAGAGTCGATGACGCAGAAGTTAGTGTTTCGTTCAACCTCGAGGAGGACTTGGGGAAGAGCTTCCTCCAAGAGAAGGAAAACGCCCGAAGATCCAGTCCACAGAGTGATGAAGAAGTGACCGAGACGTTCGAAGTGGAGACTTTAACCTGGCCGTGGTGTGTGAAGGCAAATTTATGGAGGAAGATGATCATCGAACAAGGATTGGAGGTTAGACTAAGGGTTTTGATATCGGCGTTGGAATGGGAAATCAGAGAGACAAGGAGGAGTAGAGCGTAATGCAATTTCGCCATCTCTTTGGAGATCCCGAGCGTTTATCTTCGATCGGAACGAGCTGGGGTGATCCTCAGACAAGGGTCAAGCCTTCATGGACGATGGCTGAGGTCCAAAGCAATGCAATGCACGGCCGGCGGTGTGATTTAGAATATGGTGCATTGGCAAGGTGACAAAAACGTCCGCCTGTAAGGAACGAGTACGCTCAGACAAGAGAAGATCATACCGAGGAAAGAGATGGCAAAACACAAGTCAAGCTGAAGACATGGCTGAGAAAACAAAACCAATGTGGGCAGCTGACTTTATGTAAGGAGATTTCCAAGGTAGAAGTCCTTGCCCTCGGAAACTGAGAGATGTCGTACGCTGTTTTCTTTTTAGTCGAAAGAGACGTTGTACAATTTTTCCAATTTATTACCTCACATGTAAAATGGTTAATACTACAAAAATCCCGGTACACATATGACAAACTTACTTCAAACTAATTTTTTAATCATAAAAAATCTCAAATCGGTACACTTATGATAAATTTACCATAAACTAATTTTTTGACCATGAAAAACCTCAAATTAGCACATTTGTGATAAATTTACCCTCCGTTAAATTGAATTAATATCACAAAAAACTACAAAATGATATACATGTGAGAGACGAAGAGTAAAACTCTAAATTGGTACACCCAACAACTGCCACGTGTCATCCAACTTAGAAATTTGACGGTAAAATTTAAAGGAACTAATAGAGAATAAAATTGTCATGGGTATACCAGTTTGAGGTTTTTCGTGGTAAAAAAATTAATTTTGGGTAAATTTATCACGAGTGTACCAGCTTTAGGTTTTTCGTGGTATTAATCATATATAAAATTACCAATTTAAATTAGAGTGATTTATTAAATTTTATCAAATTAAATTACTAATAAATTTTGGATTATCAGCTTTCATTTGCGATGATTATCCTAATTAATTTTTTTCAATTGACTAATTTGTCTATTGAGTTACCAATCGTTATTTGTCTTGGTTAATAACTCCTTACATGTACTAGCTATTTTTAGCGATGACTACCGCAAATTATCACAACTCACAAACTTTTATCCCATTAAATTATGACAAAGTATTGAGTTACAAACTCCTATTTGAATTATTTATTGACATTCATTCGATGTCTTTTTTAATTTGCCAATTTTTCTTATCAATCTTTTATTTTCATTTATTAGCAACAGCCTAAATTTATCAGCTTTTGTCGAAACTACCAACTTTAATTACACCGATGAACCAACTTTCTCTGATTGAATTACCCACCAGTTTAGGGTTACCATTACCAAATCTCGTTTGACATACTTACCAAGTTTATTATTCATTTCCTCTTTTACCAAATTTTATTTACATTTCTTAATGACGCCTTAATTTAGCAACTCTTATGTAAAGTTTCTAGCTTTAATTTAAGTTATTTATCAACCCGATTAAGTTATCTATCTTATACTTATGAATTACTACAGCAATCCCCCACCATTTTATGAGCATATAAATAAATGAAAAAGATAAAACATAAAATACTAGTTGTTCCTAAAAAGGATTGCAACAATTAAACAAAACTGAAACATAAAAAGAAAATCAATTGGCCATCTGTACGCATAGAATGAGGTGGATGTCCTTGAATCTTATGCCTGAACAATTCAAATTCGAAGGAAGATAAAACTTTGATGTTAAAACACTATAAAACTCATTTAAACGGCACCCAAGATCCTAAAAGGCAATTTCTTAATAGGTTATGGGCCTATCTTGTTGGGAGAACAAAGACGAATCGAACAATATTGGATGAGCGAAGTGGAACACAATAATCTCCCATCTTGTGTAAACCTAATAGGAAACGATATAATAATGTAAATACCAAGCACCCACAAATAAAAGACATTGTGAATTTTGAAATAATAGATATGGCCATCTCGGTCCTATTTCATCTTTTGGTGCTCTTTTCTAAGAAAGAATGACCCAAACTTTGACACATGATTTTGGTTTAAACCGTACTGACCCAATTCTTCATGGGTTCAAAGCTCGTGACGTGAATGTTGAAAATCACATTGAATTCGGAATATATCCTGAGTTATGCTCTCGTCATCGTGATCGGACGGTCCAGAATAAAAGGAGTCAGATTTGGGCAAATTGGAGATCATTGGAAATGTCTTACAGAAGCAAAAGCATCCTATTTCGTGGATGTAAGGTGGCTTAGGCAGCACAACCTTATATGCGTACATGTCGCTGAGAAAGCAACGAGGCATTCTATCCTGGGCTTGGAGGGCCTCTATGCTACTGACTCTATCTTCAATTGTCCTTGTCGTCGCTCGCTCAGTCGCCATCGAGCTGCTCGCATGCTGTCTCTATAGCTCTAGGTTTGTTATCTTCTCTCCCCATCTCAATTGGCTAGAAAAATTAGGGCTTAAAGGGTAAAATAGAGTTGTTGGTGGAGTCATGGAGACGATAGTACTAGAGAAGGAATCGCGAAATAGTGAAGCTGTGATTGTGAGGACCTCTTTTTGTTTAATCAATTCGGTGCGCTACTTTGTTGCTTTGTTTCCACTTAACGATAGCCGCTGAGTCATTCTTTAATCAATTAGTTGCGATTGTGGGGACCTCCATGTGAAATTGTTGTCTTTTCTGTGTTGTGGTCCCAAAAGGTAATTAGTTTTTTTCCTTGGGTGCAGCGTCCGCATGGGGGACAAATCCGCATGCTTCCATGGAGTCTACTAACATGTTTGATGTCTCCGGCGGTGCATTAGGGTTTGTGGTTTGTGTAATGTACCCGTGTGAGTACATCAGATTGGATACATATATTCCTGGCTAGCTTGTATCATTTCCTTTTTGTTGTCATGCAACCTAGACTCAGATGGCTGACATGGTCTTCATAATTATGTTATGCTTGCTATGTCTCTATTCTTTGGACTTCCGAGCGGCAGGAAGAAGGAGGAGGAGGAGGAGGCACACAGCGGCAGCAACCTCTTAGTAGCGCCTTCGTGCGGGCGCCGTCAGATGCTTCAGAGGTAAAAGAAGATGTCCCTCTCTTCTCTCCCTCTCATGTTCTCCTGCAACCATGCATTCACTAGCGCATTGACTGATGCGATTACACACAGACAACACGCTTTTTCCAACGGGTCAGTATTTTCCTCCAATTTTGCAAGGAATGTCTCTATAATAACTTCTCTGGTTCACCGGTTTAAGAAAAAATATATTATCACATTAAGTGGAGAAATGTACTTTATTTGTGAGGCTGAATTATTACATAGATATTACAAGGCACTAATTGTCCATTCGCATCATTTCTCTACAGATTGTTTTATTATTCGTAAACGACATCTGTAGTACAGAAAATATTCACCACAACCAGTTTAAATCTCCCTTAAAGAGAGAAAATGGATCTTTAATGAGAAATAAGTACTTGTGTCCTGGTTTCAAATATAATTGCTCCTCTCTCCTTCAAACCTCGGACTCTTCATTTGCTACTGCCATTGTTTCTTCCTTCTCATCCTGTGCGTCAAGAATGGTGTAATCACTGACAGGCCTAAACATACGAAGCGCGACCACATAAATCGTTAGAATTGCACCCTCCTCCACTGCGTTGCTCACCCACTCGTACTCACGTGCCATGAAGATCCTCAAAGCGAGTGCTACCATCGGCACGACATACAAATAACCGATTGCCAAGACGTAGACCAAGGCAAACTTTTTAATCTTAGCCAATCTCATCGCCGCCTTCTCGTCAGTCTTTGCAGCCTCCTTCAGCAACCAAATTGACCTCCCCGCGGTAACAAGGATGGTGCACGTGCAGATCATGTCGAGCAAAGCAAGCCCCAACACCACGCTGGGCCAAGTGGCTCCCATCATGACAGCAAAGGGGAAAGCCAGATTGGAGAGAACCTGAAGCGTGATGGGGACGATCCATACCTTGGCCTCCTTCTCTGGCAAGAACTTCTTGAAGAATGAGAATCCGATTATGATCAATGCCGTGATGATAAGTAATGACATGACTCGAGCAACTTCGAACAAGATTTCCCAACCGTGAGGTAACCCAGTAAGTTTAACAAAGTACTTATCCAGCGCGGCACAGATGAGACTCAGTGTTTTTGCGGTAATTAGTCCGGTGATCAAGTGATGGACCCGATTCGTGGATTCCTTGTTGCAATAGTTGTAATAGGCCCAGAGAACTAAGAGGAAGAAGTAAGCAAGAGTGAACTCGAAGAATAGTGGAATGAGCCTCGATTGTCCAGACGAGAGGTAATTCTTGGAGCCGCCGAAATCGAGATTGTACAATTCAGTGTGGACCTTCATGGATACACGGGCCGCCGGATCGCAGTTGGCAAAGAACAGGGAGTATTCACTGGGATAAGTAACGCGATAGGTTCTGTTAAAGAAGCTGTGTGGTGGCGGAGACAGGTCGCAGAAGGTGTCGAGAGCAACGATGTAGCGGGAATCGAGGATGCAGAAGTTAGGGTTTTGTCCGACTTCGAGGACGGCTTGGATCTCAACTTCCTCCGAGAGAAGGAAAAAGCCCAAACGAGAAGGATTTGGACGGAGTAATGAACTAGTGGCAGAGACATCAGAAACCGAGATTGTAACCCGGCCGAAGTGTGTGAAGGCAAACTTATCGAGAAAGACTATCGGATGAGGATCGGAAGTTAGACGTAGGGTTTTGATACCGGCATCGGAACGGGAAATGAGAGAGACGAGGAGGAGTAGAGCGTAATGCAATTTTGCCATTTTTTCTTGGAGACCCTGAGCGTTGCCGTGGATCGGAGCGAGCTGGGGGCGATCCTCGGACGACTTTAAAGGGTTAGGGACAATGGCCGACGTCGAAAGCAATGCCATGCACAAGCTGGGGGCGTGAATTACAAAACGATGAGGCAAGGTGACAAAAAGACATGCGCCCATTCTAGGACAAGCATGTCCAGACAAGGGATGATTCTACCGAGGAAAGAGACGGCAAAACACAAGTCAAACTGAAGAAATAACGAGAGAATAAAATCATGTGGGTAGCTGCATTTATCCAAAGAGATTTCAAGGTAAAAGTTTGTATCCTCGAAAATTAAGCGCCCGAATGATAACTATTCTCTTCCCGGAAATAATTTTGTATTAAAAATAGAAAAAAATTATTTATATTCTTTGAACGAGGTTCTAAGCAGAAAATTACGATTGATAATGATATAAAATTACTCTTCCTAGAACAAAAATTCGTTTGATAGCATCGATGTAGAATTCGTACACCGGCGGTCGGCTACCGCCACCGGCGAGCGAGCATACAACGGTCGGCGTTGGCGGGCTGGGCAGGCGGCGGCAAGTGGGCAACAGTCGGTGAGTGGGTGGGCGACAGTCGGCGGCGATGGGGCAACTAGCAGGCAGGCAGCAGCGGGCGATAGGGGGTAGAGGGGGCAGCAAGGCCGAACTCTTAGAAGAATTGTTATTTCTGTTTCTGTTTCAGAAATGGAAAGGTAGAAAAAAAAATCTACTTCTCATTTATTTTCCAAACCTATTTCTCAGCTAAAAAATTTATCCCGGAAATAGAAAAATAAAATTACGTTGCCAAACGAATTGCTGTTTCAAACCTGTTCCTCGGAACAAAAAAATTAAAAAATAAAGACAGAATGATTATCACTTGCGTCCTGAAATGCCGCAGGATAGGAATAATTACAAAAACCATACAATTTTACGAAAGAAGTCATCCTTCTCACACTTTCAAAAAATTTTATATGTCCCAACCTAAAAAGACCTACTTACCCCTCATGCACATTGGCGAAGTGAAATCCAACATTGAGGATGGGGAATTTTGATAAAGAAAACGGGACGGCATTTGTGATTTTCCCCATTTTTTTTGTATGAATGGCGAGACCTTAAAAAATTATATTGTTCTGTTACTAGGCTTTGTTGTTTCGCAAAAAATAAATAATTTTCAAAACATTTTCCTTATAAATAATCGCTTATATCATTTGAAATAACTAGTTAATGAAAAATATTTTCATTATCGACAACAACTTATATCTAAATAATTCTGTAGATGATAAATCTATTTTTTGTTCATTCATTTTTGGATGTGATACTAGTGGTCAGTTTTAGGAAAATATTTCCAAATTATTAATTTTTTGCGAAATAAATGGAGCCTTAAATACAAATATTATTCTTCAAATTTATCCGGACCGACACGATTCTTCATGCTTTAGAAAGCTCATGACTTGAGTTTTATGAAAATTATTTCGAATTCGGGATATATAATGAGTTTGCTGCCATCATCGAGATCAAGCGGTCCAAAACAAAAGATGTGATATCTCACGATCTAGGAGTCAAATTGGGGCAAACTGGGTACCGTCGGAAAGCTCCTGACGATTACTATCCAAGCACACAGTCTAATCTATTGTTTGACTATGTTTGACCTTGGGTCAAAGTTGGTCAATTATTGAAAGAGAAGGGTAATGATAATTAAAAATATCAAAACAAATCTTGTAATTGAAGGGTACTTTAAGAAGTTAACAAAAAAAAGTGTGAAAATAACACCAACTATTATATAAAGTAAAGAGCACCTTTTACTGTTAAGGCAAAATAATCAATTAATTTTAAAAAATGCATACGTTAAAAACTCTAGTTTATGCGTATGATATTTTCAATTTTAAAATTGGAATATTTGTATCGTATAAGTAACATTCCAAAAATGTTCAGATATAAAAATGTTTATCTCTTTCTCTATATATGTTCAATATCTTCCATATTGTTCGATTTTTATCCGTACACTACAATTCAAGTGTTTCACAATATCGCAAATTTGCAAAATTATTAAAAATGTCAAGTTTTTGCATACAAGCAATGGGCGTGCACTTTTGTGTGTGGTTATAGTCATTTCACAAAAGCATCATTGATGTTAGGCGGCTAGAGCTAGCTATGTCTCAGGGAGGGTGGGGGCTGCAAATTGCAAACTGAAGGGACTGATAGGGATTTGTGGATTGTGGACTTGGGACGGGTTGGGTTCTTCGGAAAACAATCACAAGACACTAAAAGGCTTCTCTTTGGTCCGAAGCATGACCTTTTTTTTTTTTGGGTCTGAATCCGAAGCATGACCTTAAAAGGCTTCGTTTAGAGGATTGCTCGGACCTCGGAGTCCTCTAGATATACAGCAAGAAGAGGGTATTCCCTCTCTTGAAAAATACAAGAGAAATTAGGAGATGCGAGGTGTGCGGGCACAAGCTCCTTAAAATAAGGAACGCATCCGTAAAGCTCGCCCCTCAGAAGAATAGGTTGCGGAGGCCCTCGCAGGAGCGCAAGCTCCCGTTCCTCGATTACAAAAACCGCCTGCAGAAGGAGCCCTATCTCGTATATATTGAAACTCGTGGAATCTCCACCATCTTTAACACCGTCAGCATTTGGCGGAGGTTGGATCCCTCACTGTATACGATCTACATAGACCTAGACGCCTTTTCTTACTCTTGTGATTATGAGTGACCGAAGGATTGGTCCTAGTATGGTCACTTGTCGTGTAGACCCTGCGGCCGTCACAGCGGAGGATTGTATCTCTATGACTATGGGAGACTTGGAGAACCGTATGGTCCACCTAAATTCACGTCGTCCAATCGATCTAGGATCAGATGTACGACATGTATTCCGGGGAATGGTCATCCCTCTGTTGACACCAATAATAATTCAGGTCGTCGACAGTAAAACAAATCACATAAAAATTAAAGAATATTCGAAATAGAAACAATAAATGCTCATTGTGCATAATGTTTAGTAAAATCCAAGTCCATCGATGAGAAGATAACGTAAGCCTGCCACAGACTTAGTTGTTGAAGTAGGATGACAGACAGCTGGCAGCTGCCAATCATGTTGATGGGAAATTTTGAGTGTTTGAAACTTGAAAAGGGCTAAAATCAAATAGGGAACAGTTACCACTTGAAGATTTGGTCATGGAGGTTAGTAACGAAACTGTTATCTCATGAGGAGTCTGTTGTGGTCGATAGGAGTGTATGCTTTTGCACATGATAGATACGGTTACTTGAAGACATGAGTAACATAGAGTTGCGAAAATGGAGGATGAAGATGAGATCGATGGAGGTTATCTGACGTAAATACCACCTGATAGCCGCTAGAACCCCCCAAAAAGCACAATCAAAATGCCGTCTTTTTTTATCTTTAAAGCTTTATGCTTTGTACTTTCAGTTTCCTTAACCGTAGATATCTATGTCTTAAATCCAGTATCAATGTAACATGGCATCGATGAAATTCGAGTGTGATGTTGCCAGACAGTGGCTGATTCTTTTTTTTTTTTTTCAGTGGCTGGTTGGGTTTGTTTGAATTAGTTATGTTACTTAAGTTTTTCATCGATCAAATATTTTCATGGCATGAATTTGTACTGCTTGGTTGAAACAAGTGGGTTCCTTTTTCTCGCTTGGATATCTCATGTCCGAAGTCGCCACTGAACCCTGTCCTTTCTCATAAAAAACTTAAGAACGACATTCGGTGAATTAAATTTCGCCACAGGAGCAATTCCGGCAAAACACCCTCCACTACCTCAAAGACGTGCCCTTAACTCCCAAACGTTGCTCCCCTTTCCTTTAGCCAGGGGTCCTAAGATCATCATCATGCACCTGTATTAGCAGGCTCTCCTGCCCTTCATTTTTATGATATCAAACGCCAGAAGTTGGATGTCTACGATGACCCTTTTGGCGATTGTTCTCCTAGGTAGGCTCACACCCTCTCAGGAACCACCCTCTTCTTCCTCGACTCGCTCTAAGGCAGCACAACCTTATATGCGTACATATGTGGTCGAGAAGGCACCAAGGCCTTCTGTCGTGGGCTTGGAAGGCCTCTGCGCTATTGATACTATCTTTAATTGTCGCTGCCGTACCAGTTGTGGGGATTCTTCCCAGCTCCTTTTTCTTCAGGGAATTCGGACATCATCTTTGTTGCGCGAAAGTTAGCATTGGCAAGATGGGTCTGCAGGCTTCCATCGAGTATTAACATCTTTGATGTCTCTGGCGGTGCATTAGCGCTTGCATTTTGTGTGCTCATGCGAGTACATTGAATCAAATACCATATTCATAGATAGCTTGTATCATTTCCTCTTTTTCTCATGCAACCTAGATTCAAATGATGATGTGGCCTTCATAATTATGTATGCATGCTGGGCTCTATTCTTAGGACTCCCGTGAGAAGAAGGAAAAGCAACATGAAGAAGAACCAGAAAAAGGAAAAGCGCACAGCGGCGGTGTCAACCTCTTAGTAGCTTCTTCATGCAGGCCGTCAGATGCTTCCGAGGTGAAAAAGATGTCTCTCTCTTCTCTCCCTCTCATGTTCTCCTACAACCATGCACTCACTATCACATTAATTGATGCAATCACACAGACAACGTGCATTTTCCAAGGGGCCAGTATTTTCCTTCAACAATGGGAGGAAGATTCTCAAACCGTACCCCTAATTGGTGGTGTTCATACTCCAACTTCAGTCCAAATTGAGAAACTTATGGACTATCATTTGCTCTCTCGTTGTTTTCCAATAGAAGAAGTAATCACACACATACGGTTCATATTGACTTACCAGAAAAAAATTATCCATACTCAATCTATGTAGACCAAATTGATCATACTCATTTAATTTGTGGGCCCCACAATGGGAGCTACACGGTCCATGTATATGATGGTGTTGGTTGACATAAACTAATGTAATATCTTCTTCGTAAACCGGTCCAAGAAAACGTATTTTTTCACATTTAAGTCAAGACAAATGTAGCTCATTTATGAAACTGAATTATTATACAGATATCGCAATTTACCAAATTTTCCACTCGCACCATTTCTCTACAAATTTTGTAATGATCGTAAACAACATCTATTCACAGAAAAGATTCACCACAACCAGTTTTAATCTCCGTTAAACAGAGAAAATATGGACACTTACCGAGAAATAAGCATTTGCAATCTACTTGTGTCCTGATTTCGAATATAATTGCTCTCTCTCTCCCCTCCAAACCTCGGACTATTCATTTGCTACAGCCATTGTCTCTTCCTTCTCATTTTCAGCGTCAAGAAGGATGAAGTCATTGACAGGCCCGAACATACAAAGCGTCACCACAAAAATCGTTAGATTCACACCCTCCTCCACCGCATTGCTCACCCAGTTGTACTCATATGCCATGACAATCCTCAAATCGATGGCTACCATCACCGTGACATACAAATAACCAATTGCCAAGACGTAATATAGGGCAAACTCTTCAATCTTCGCCAATCTCATCGCCGCCTTCTCTTCAGTCTTTGCAGCCTTTCTCAGCAACCAAATAGACCTCCCCACGGTAACGAGAAAGGTGCATGTGCAGATCATGCTCAGGAAAGCCAGCCCCCTCACCACACCAGGCCAAGCATCTCCCATCGTCACCGCAAAAGGGAAAGCCAGATTGGGGAGAACCTGAAGCGCGATGGTGACAATTAGTACCTGGGCCTCCTTCTCTTGCAAGAATGGCTTGAAGAAGAAGAATCCAATTATGATCAATGCTGTGATGATAAGTGATGATATGACTCGAGTCACTTGGAACATGATATCACAACCGTGCGGTGTCCCAGTAAGTTTAACGAAGTACGTATCCAGCCCGGCACAGATGAGACTGAGTGTTTTCACCGTAATCAATCCGGTGATCAAGAGATGGACCCGGTTTGTGGATTCTTTGCTGCAATAGCAGCAATAGGCCCAGAGAACTGAGAGGAAGAAGAAAGCAAGAGAGAACATGAAGAAGAGTAGAATTAGCCTCGATTGTCCAATCGAGAGGTAATTTTTGGAGCCGTTGGAATCGAGATTGTACAACTCAACATGGACATTCATGGATACACGGGCCACCGGATCGCACTTGGCAAAGAACAGTGAGTATTCACCGGGATTATTAATGGGATAGGTTCTGTTAAAGAAGCGGTGTGGTGGTGGAGAGAGGTCGCGGAAGGTGAATAGAGGGACGGTGTAGAAGGAGTCGAGGACGCAGAAGTCAGCGTTTTGCTCGTCCTCAAGGAGGACTTGGCGAAGAGCTTCCTTCGAGAGCAGGAAAAAGCCGAAACGTGAATCCAGTGTATAGATTGATGAAGAAGTGACGGAGACATCAGAAGCGGAGATGAAAACCTGGCCGTGGTGCGTGAAGGCGAACTTACGGAGAAAGATGATCTGACGAGGATCGGAGGTTAGACTTAGGGTTTTGATATCGGCATTGGCATGAGAAATGAGAGAGATGAGGAGGAGCAGAGCGTAATGCAATTTCGCCATTTTCGTCGGAGATGCTGAGCGTTGTCGCGGATCAAAGCGAGCTGGGGTGATCCTCAGACGACTTTAAAAGGGTCAACGACTTCAGGGACAATGGCCGACGTCGAAAGCAATGCAATACACAGCTGGGGGGTGTGAATTACAATATGATGAAAAGGTGACAAAGACATGCGCCCATGTAAAGGACAGGTATGTCCAGACAAGAGATGATTCTACAGAGGAAAGAGATGGCAAATCACAAGTCAAACTGAAGAAATGGCTGAGAGAACAAAACCAGTGTGCGTAGCTGCATTTATCCAAAGAGATTTACAAGGTAAAAAGTCCATACCCCGAGAAACTGAGACGTGGCTGGATAGGAATAATGGTCCTTTCTGAAGAACGAGAGATTTTCTTTAGAATAATTTACGAAAATCATCCAACTTTACTCTACAGCTATGATCGTTTAGCGAAATATGTAACCTTTCTGAAAAGAGAAAATGACACAAACAGTCTCTGAACTTTGGCCCAATGTGCAATTTGATCCCTGAACTTTTAATTTGTTCAATGTAGTCCTTGAACTTTAACCCAATATGCAATGTGATCTCTAAACTTTTAATTTGTTCAATGTCACCCCTGAACTTTTGATACATGTTCAATTCAGTCCCTGAACTATATGAAAATGTTCAATATAGTCATTCCATTAATTCAAGTTCGGAGACTACTTTGAACATTTTCATATAGTTTAGAGACTAAATTAAACAATTATCAAAAGCTCAGGGACCACATTGAACAAATTGAAAGTTCAGGGACTACATTGAACATAGCCAGGTTTTGACGAGCTCGAGCCTTGCTGGCCTATGACTCGAACCAACCAAACCGATTTTGGAACCGGTTTCATAAAATATAAAAATCTTAATTTTCCTTTGGCATCTTTTTCTCCGTTCTTTCCAAGACTCCTGCCTCACTTGGACAATTTACGAGTCTTTCTCGCTCGCAACTCACCCTCCTCCTCATTCGTTTGCGGCTCACTATCACTCATTCAAGCCTTGCTCGTTCTCAACTCGCCCTCACTTTAACTATCATTAAGTGATTAACTACGTTGTTTGTTTTGTTTTCAGGTGATTGGACTTCGGAGCAATATTTTTATGGATGGATGAGGAATGAAGTTTTATAATTTACGTTTTATGTTGCATGTTTTGAACTTTTTATCGTTTATAATTGAACATAACTTGTTCATCTTATGGGTTGTTGCTTTTGATGAATAAGGGATTTCTATTGTTGCCTTTGGGAATTCCTCCGGACTAAAGAAAACCAAATCCAAAGTAAGTGCCACGTTTGAGAGAGTATTTCTAATCACAAAAAGAGAGAGAGGAGAACTCACCATAGAGAGAATGAGGGGGAGGGACGCCTATTGGGATGATTAACAAAAGCCTTAAGCCTATTGTACGGATGCTAATTCAATTCTAAACTCTTCAAATTGGCCAATTTAATCCTAAACATGACCAGATAATTTTTGCAGTTTAGTATCAAACCTGGCACGGTTTTTTACCAGGTTTAAGACTAAATTGGCCAAATTGAAAACTTGAGGACTGAATTAGCATCCATAAAATATGTTTAGAAATTTTTTTGGTAATTTTCTCGACACCTATTTACGTGCAATTTTAATGGGCAGCTCACCCTGAGCCTGAATGGGGGGGTACTCGGCTCATGGTGAGTCGGTACGGTACCCCATGCTCACCGTGAGCAAGAAAAAGGGCTTTCCCAGCTCATGAACAATTTTGGCCAACTTACCGTGAGACGGATTCCTCCGATTTGGCTCAAGGTGAACCAAAGCGACTTAAGTGACGCTATTTGGTTGGTTATATTTCAATTTTTGTGTTTTCTTTAGAAGTCCATAACTTTCTTGAAATCATATTCGCGTCGCAGTTGGAAAGCTTGATATCTCTAGTTTTCAAATATTCATTCAATCACATTTTCGAGATCGTGATTTTTGAGCGAGGTCTTGGACCGTATTTTTATGACTTGGCCGACTGAATTCTGAACAATTCGGTTGTCAAAAAACTTAAAACGAAGTCTTAGGAGTTAACCGATATGGCCATTTCGGTTCTAGTTTATTTAGAGTTAATTCTCTCCTCTCTCTTAGTTATGGTAGATTTCTGAAATTGGTCTTAAAGTAACACGCCTTTTGTCCTTTTATTCCTATTTCATCTTTTGGTGCTCTTTTCTAAGAAAAATTGACCTAAACTGTGACTCTGTTTATTTCGCGAAAAATGTGACATTTCTAAAACATATTTTCGAGGAAGTCATTTTCTAACAACATTTTCCGATGCTTGGCTGAAACTTGAAAACGAACTGGAAAATATTTTCCGTCATTTGGTATGAAAAATTTGATTTGATTTTCTAATAGACATACACTATTCGGATACTAGCAACTTGCGCATGGGTAGCCGCATAACCGGGTACAGGTACTAGAGTGTCAAGACCGGCCTCAATGGACCCCGATTAGAGCGCCGAGGATCAGGGCATGGGAACCTAGGTCTCGGGTCCGTGTCCGGGTGTTGGGGATCCAAGCTTGAGTATCGGGATCCCGCGATCGGCCTTTGTGGACCCGGCTTGGGTACCAAAGATTCTAGCCCGGGTATGGGCACCAAGTCCCGAACTAAGCGTCAATGGCCTGACACCAGCATCAGGGTCACGGGCCCGGCCTTGATATAGTCGAGCCTGGGTGTAGGAGACCTGCTCTTGGACGCTGGGGATTGGGAAATATTGTTGGGGTTTTCATGCTTAAGCGTAAAGTTTTGGGTAAAGCGTTGATATCTAATCATATTTCGAAATTGATTTTCGATTTTTGAAAGAGAAAATCATTTTCCTAAATTTAAGCATATGTTTATAGTTGACTATAGAAACATTTTCCGTTGACTCATTTTTCTAAGCAACCAAATGCCGGAAAAAGAGGAGAGACAAATGGAGCCTTTGACTAATGATTTTGTTTTTAACTGTATTGACCCAATTCTTCATGTGTCCAAAGCTTGTGACTTGAATTTTGAAAATCACTTTGAAATCGGAATATATCACGAGTTTGCTCAGGTCATCGTGATCGGACAGTCCATAACATAATATGCGATATCTCATGATCTGGGAGTCAGATTGGGCCAAATTGGAGATCGTTGGAAAGGTCCTAACGAATACTACCCATTTACACAATTTGATCTGTGTTCGACGAGGTTTGTCCTCAGGTTGAAGTTGCACAAATTTTGGTCAATCTTGAAAATCTTAGGTCAAAATTGACGTGTCTGCAAACTCAATTCAACAACTGTATGTGTTCAGCAAATTAATGAACTCATGATTGCAAGAAGGAACAATTTTTTTTTTACTTTGAAACAGAGGGCGCGTTTGTTTGGCGAAAAACTCAATGATAAAGGAAAATGCTCTCTAGAAATACGATTAGTTTTCCATTATTTGGTGATACGTGATCGAAATAGTTTTCTAATGTTTGGATTTCTTTGAAAAATTATTTCAATCTCATGAATTTATTTCAGGCAAAAGAAAAATCGAATTTTTTAATATTTTAAAAAAATCGAATTTTTAATTATTTTTAATTTTTTTCTTTTTCTTTTTCTTTTTTCTTTTCTTTTCTTTTCTTTTACCTCCTTCCTCTGCTACGACACAGGCGAGCTCGAGCTCGCCGGCCTTAGCCGAGAATCGAGCTTGCCTAGATTTGGCTAGCCGCGAGCTCGCCGGTCTCGATGGAGCTTGGGCTGGTGAACTCTAGCTCGCCTGGATCGGGCGAGCCGCGAGCTCGCCGGTCTCAGCGGAGCTCGGACTTGCCTGGATCTGCCGAGCAGCAAGCTCGCTGGCCTCGGTGGAGCTCGGGCTCGCCAACCTCGAGCGAGGTTGAGACACGAGCTCGAAGGCAAGGTCACGAGGCAACGAGGTCAAGGCGGCAAGTTCAAGGCGTGAGCTCGCCGGACATGGCCAGGTCGGGCCTAGGGCAAGGTCGGCCTCGCCGAGGCTCTAGCTCGCCGGGATCTGGCGAGATCGGCCTCGCCTGAGGCCGGCCGTTGCCGGCCCATGCTTGTGGCCAGTCGCAGGCCGTCGCAAAGGCCAGCGACCAGCAAAGGGAAGAAGAAGGAAAAGAAAAGAAAAAAGAAAAAAAATAAAGAAATGAAAAGAAAAGAAAATATTAGATATTAAAAAATTCAAGATGAACAATTTTCAGAAAGTGTTTTCACCTTCTTAGATTATGGAATTCAATTTCCTAATTTTATAAATGGATGTTTTCCTTAATCGGAAAGTGTTTTCGGTAACGGCTGAAAGTTCAGAAAACAAATTCTTGCAAACACTTTCTCTCAAACAAACAAATGAAAGTCCGGAAAACAAATTCCAAGAAAACACTTTCCCTCAAAAAGTAAATCAAATGCCCATCATTAAAATTAGGTCATTTAATTGCTTGACATATAGCTTGTATGTTAGGTTTATTTAATCGCATGTCATGCTCTGCACATCATTGCATATAGGTTAGTTTTCATATAATCAAGAGAAAACCAAAAAATACATGAGTGGAATTGCTCGTGAATTAGAAATCATATAGGATTGTTGACGTGATTTTTTAACTAACATCGCAGATGCTTACGTAGTTTCAAGGTAAGTACATTCTCCCTTCGTAATTTATTTATCGCTTTGGTTATTCAATGTTACTTTGGTGATTTGCGCATCCGCATGATGATCTCACATGTTAGGAAGTAATAAAATTAATCCAAGCTGCCTGCTAAAATATTTTCATTAAAAGTAAATGTACCGAACTGGCCTAATTAAGTCCCCGTACTCATAATCTCTAGTTCGTATGAATAAAGTATATTTCCCTATACTTTATTTGAGTTTCTAATTGATTCACCATAAACTAATTAGTAGTGACTCCTAATTAAAAATCATTTGCATGTAAGAACTTGAACCATAAGTCGCGAACTTGGAAGAGCTCAAGTTAGGTCGAGGTTTAATAATCCATGAGCCGAACCCTAGGTGAAAGACAATACGAATGCATCTGTACATCTCATCGTCTACTCCTTTAATGTACGCGTATTTATGCACGCCTACTTCCTTACAATCGGATCTATTTAATATGGCGATTTTGTGAAGAGGTTAGATAGGTGGTGCATTCATCCAAGATTTCTTTATGGTTGGCCATGGAAAGAAGGTCACTCAAGTCCTGGTGCAATTATGAAGCAGCGGCTAAAGAAGAAGACGACCCTTTCTTCTTCCCAACCCTCTTTTCCCCCGATTTCAGGTACTATATTAGGTCCTGATTTTGGTTTCCTGTTTCGTTTCTCAAGTTCTTTTGCTTCATGAAGTGTGCAATCACCAAAAGATTTTATCCTTGGTTCATGTATTATGCAGTGGAAACGGATGTAATGCACTGGATTGGAACGATTATCATCAAAGAGAGCCTTTGGGAGGCTCCTCCTCTGATCACAAGCTTCCCACAGTATCCATTGTGCCCTCAAATTCTTGATTTTGAGCAGAAACCTCACGATGCAATTCAAGGTAGTCATGACGATGGAAAACTAGTTATTTTGATCTATTCCTCATTCTCTTTGTGTGATCTTGTGTGCCTTAATAGTTGATGTTGCACAGGGTGTTGCCGCGAGGATAGGGTCGCGACAGATGCTTTCGAGGTAAAAAAGATGACCCTCTCTTTCTCTCCCTCTCGTGTTCTCCTACAACCATGCACTCACTAGCACATTGATTGATGCAATTACACACAGACAACATGATTTTTCCAAAGGGCCAGTATTTTTCTGCAATTATGGGAGGAAAGTCTCTTCAACCATACCTCCGATTGGTGGTTACCATACAATGACTTCAATGTATGTAGAGAAACTTAAGGTGGGTCATTTGCTCTCTCATCATTCTTCTATCAAATGAAAAATTATCAGAGACTTACTATTCATATTGATTTTTACTGGAAATGTACTATAAACTCAGTCTATGTAGACCAACACCATCATACCAATTGAATGTAGAGCTTCACTATAGGACCCACGTGGTCCATGGACATGATGGTTTTGGCTCTGCAATAATTTCTCTGGTTCACCGATTTAAGAAATCGCGTATTATCACATCAAGTCAAGAAATTGTACTTTATTTGTTCACTCGCAGCATTTCTCTATAGATTGTTTTATTATCGTAAACAACGTCTGTAGAGATTCACCACAACCGGTTTAAATCTCCCTCAAAGAGAGAATATATATACTCAACGAGAAATAAGCATTTGCAATTTACTCGTGTTTCAAACCTCGGACTCTTCATTTGCTACTGCCATTGTTTCTTCCTTCTCATCCTGTGCGTCAAGAATGGTGTAATCATTGACAGGCCTAAACATACGAACCGCGACCACATAAATCATTAGAATTGCACCCTCCTCCACCGCGTTGCTCACCCACTGGTACCTGAAGATCCACAAAGCGAGTGCTACCCTCGGCACGACATAAAAATAACCGACCGCCAAGACATAGACCAAGGCAAACTTTTTGATCTTCGCCAATCTCATCGCTGCCTTCTCGTCAGTCTTTGCAGCCTCCTTCAGCAACCAAATAGACCTCCCCATGGTAACAAGGATGGTGCACGTGCAGATCATGTCGAGCAAAGCAAGCCCCAACGCCACGCTGGGCCAAGTGGCTCCCATCATGACAGCCAGAGGTAGGGGTGAGCGGTTCCAGGTTCCGGGTAGGTTCCGCTTGGAACCTGGAACCTACCCTCGGGTACAGGTTCCTCAAAATGAGGAACCTGGAACCTACCCGTCGGAACGTGGAACCTGGAACCTACCCTGTCACAGGTTCCAGGGTCGGTTCCAGGTTAAAACAGGTTCTTTTTATTTTATTTTATTTTTAGTTAATCAAAATGAAAATGAACATTCATAAAAAAGAATACAAAAGACAAATTATAGAAAAGTCACATTTTTTCTTAAAAGAAAGGGGATAGCACGATAAATAGTAATTGTTGGGATGCAATACATATGACTTTAAATTCCAAGGTAAGATGCCACATTTTTCTCAATACATATCACCTTTCTCCCCATACATGCTGCAAAAGCACAAAAGCAGAAGACCAAAAGCTTCTTTGGTATCCACTCCGGCATTAAATTTCTTCCTCCTTTAAACAACCATGAGGTCAAAGGCACGCACAAATAATTGGCAGAATCACAAATAACACAACCTTAGCTGCTCCTTCAAAGATAACCAAAGTATTAAGACAATCCATATCAATTTATTGGTAAAATAAAATAAGTATTAGAAAGCCTACCACATATATTCATTCCGCTTCAGCTGGTAAACTCTATTTACTGACGATAATCTCCTCATTCAGACAATCCATATCTAAAAAAAAGAAAGATTCAATAAAATATTCACTTATTAGATATATAAAAGGAATTACAATATATAAAGATATAAACATCACTTACCCATCTCAAATTTTTCTGCATTTTCGATGCACTCTTCAACATCAATCGGCACACGAACGGCTCTCAACCAATCTTGAGTGCAAATCAAAGCTTCCACTATTTTGGGAGTCAAAGAACTTCGAAAGCCGTCAAGCACACGACCCGATGTACTAAAAGTCGACTCCGAAGCAACAGTAGTTACAGGAATAGACAAAACATCCCGAGCCATCAAAGATAGGATTTTATATTTTGAGCCACTAGTCTTCCACCACATCAAAAGGTCAAGATCAAGAATATTTTCATTTTTTTCTTCAAGATATTGATCAAGCTCAGATTTGTTGTCATTGCACATTTGTTGGTTCGAGTGCATAAAGGTTTTTCGCCAAGCTTGGGCGTCATACTTCTTGATCTTGCTACCTTCACTATCACCGGCATCGACATTGGAACCACTACTACTAGCACTCAAACTTTGGGCACCAAAATTTCTATCACTTGAAGCAAGAGAAGATTGTTCATAAAATTCATATAAACGCTCCAATGCATCCTTCACCTTGTAATGCATCTCATTGACTTTCAATTCATCATCATAAATTTGTCCATACAAGAAATTCACATAACTCAACTTGGCTCTAGGATCCAACACAATCGCAATCAACACCAACATATTCACTTTATCCAAACTCCCATAGTATTTGTCAAATTTATCTTTCATTTTCATACCCATAGCTTGAAGCTTAGGATCCGAAGCATCCGCCGCATCTTTCAAATTTTTATACAAAAGAGCTATCCATTCAAAATAATCATTTGAAGTAACATATGAACTCCCCGACATCCGATTGGTGGCATCATAGAATATTTTTAGAAATTCCGAAAGAATAATGGCATTTTCCCAATCATCATCTTTAGGAAGATCATGGTTAAGCTCACTAGCAAAAGCTGAATCGTCTTCTTCCATCCTTTCAAAAGCTTTTCTAAATTTTATGGCGGTGTCTAACATAAGGTAAGTGGAGTTCCATCTAGTGGCAACATCAAGAATAACCGAACCATTGTAAGTAATCTTCTCACCCTCAATGCAAGATTTAAATGTATTGGCTCTCATGGGAGAACTCCTCACATACCTAACCACGTTTCATATACGTGCAATAGATTCCCGTACCGTAGTCAAGCCATCTCTAACAATCAAGTTTAATATATGAGCGGTGCATCTCATATGTAAAACACTACCATCTAAGATCAACAACTTTTCTCTTGAAAGTTTTTCCTTCAAATAACCAATTGCAACATCATTCGAACTAGCATTATCCACGGTGATTGTGGATACCTTCTTTTCTATTCCCCACTCGTTGATGCATTTCTCCACCATTCTCCCAATCTCCCTACCCTTGTGACTAGGCATCACCACAAAATTGATGATTCTTTTATGCAACTTCCAATTTTCATCAATAAAATGTGCAGTGAGACACAAATAATTCAGGTTTTGAATGGAAGTCCATGTATCGGTCATGAGTGCGATCCTAGAATTTATCTTACCAAAGTAAGTCTTCAAACAAGTTCTTTCACAGAAATATAGCTTCATACAATCTTTAGCCACTGTAAAACGTGACAAATGTTTAAAGAGAGGCTGTAACTCGGTGACAAACTCGCGAAATCCAACACGCTCAACCAAAGAAAACGGTTGTTCATCAACTATGATGAACCAAGCAAGCATTTGCCTACAACATTCTTGATTAAATGACCATGTCGATAAGACACTACCAGTACTAGAACCTCCCCCTGCCTTGTCAGCCAAGTCTACGTTACGCGGTGCAAAGAATTTCTGCCTCTTATCAACATTGCAAGGAAACTTCTTACATGTTTTCAAGTGCTTCCTCATTGCGGAAGTACCATGAGCAACATTGTACTTTAACTCAGACCCACAATGAATGCACTTCACCTTATATGTTTTTCCATCCCCATCTTTGATTCTTGCAAAATGATTCCAACAATCGGATGTATATTTCTTATTAAGAGGAGGACGATGAGAACCAAGTACCTTGTTTGTTGCACTCGTGGTAGGGGATGGCTCTTCTTCATTTTCATCGCCCGACAATTCAAATTCTGTGATCGGAGTCATCTCCTCACATCCATCAACCTCCATTGACATGTTATCTTGAATTCTTGATAGTTGATATGTCAATCAAACAACGCTGGCCAAGCAAACAACACGAGAACATATTAGCATCGTCTTTAGCTAGTTTAGCATAGGGAGTGAGAGCTGGTAATCTTATTTAAGAGTTAAGACTTGGATCTTGGTGAAGGTAGACCACTGTAAGAATAAATGCTCATTCCCAGGTGTGTTTCATGAATCATTTAAATATTTGGCTGGCCTATGATGTAGACTCTTATGATTGTATACTAAGACCACAACAGTAATCATTTCTACGTAATAATAGAGAATACAAAAGCTTAGAATCTTCCAACCAACCTCGTCCTGGCCTGCTCCATTGACAGAAGCCCCATCACAGTACCGTATCCTTACTCTGTTCCAATTGAAAAAATCTGCCAGCAAAGCACAATTGCTCGTATGACAGTTCCAATTTGAATAAACTATGGCAAAGAATCGTTTCGAGACAGATTGAATCGTTAATAGATTTTAAATACCAGGGTTTTCTTCAGCTTTATTACTCAATATTCCTGTGAAAGCTACTTCCTTGTCCACAAACTTTGATGAACCACGACGAGTAGTTTTCCTGTAAACGCAATTCGTCACTGTATTGCACCATCCCCCACCCTACAACAATGTAAAACAACATCAAATGGCTTATAGAAAATGCAGACAGAAAAAGAATCAAGAATTGGAGTGCCATGAAGAACTGAGCAAGAAAACCATGCAGTAGAGAAGAAATAACATAAGTTTGCAAAATTAACTAGCTTAAGTATGCTATTTTAAATCATATAACATAAAGTCCATTCAACAAACCTCTAAATGGACCACCCAACTGTTTGCACCAGATCCAGAGCCATTGTGAAGATGATAACCGGGCAATGTACCATCTAAGCAGACTGAACATTGTAGAACAAGATTAAATGAGAACCTCAAACATCAATTTTTCAGCTTCGAATATTCTCAAAAAAACACCCAAAAAAAAAAAAGAAAAACCTTGTCATTCTACCGTGAGCTCAAACGAAACAGGCAAAACAACCAATGGCACGAGGATGTTAGGAACAGAACAGTGGATCAACCAAAAGAAAATCTCCAAGAAATAAGACACGAGCCCAATAATCAATATCTGGAAAAGCGAGAGCAGAATTCTAACCGGGGACACAAAATAACGCAACTTAATAAACAAGAAAGACCAAAATCTTGTAAATCCATAAGTTGCCTACGAATGAAGCGAACCCAGACACTACTACATACAGAGAAACACCAACCTTCTTAACTATGAATCCCGCACCACTTACAAGCGTAAAGTCATTAAAAAAATGGGGGTCATAAGAAAAGTCCGAGAAAGTACCAGCTCCTTTGGCAAAGAACCTTCAATGAGAGTGAGGCCAACCATGAGCTCACTCATGGTTGTTTCCCCTTTGGCAGCAGCAACAAAAAGAGCAAATCTCGAAGGCCCTTAAGAGACGATCGCAATCGACAATTAACCAATCGGTTAACTCCCCCCCTCCCTCTCCTCACATTCAATCGGGGACAGATCCACCGCATTTTCCCTCTCCTCACATTCACTAAGCGATGAATCCAGATGAATGTGCACGCAAGAGCACGATTTCACGCAACTCAGGCACGATCGTCGTGACTTAATTCAATAGATCGATGCAAAACATGAACAGAAGCAACGGTGGGAATTCAAAGAGAGAAGGCGTGAATGGCAGGGGTTGTTCGAAGACGTTACGTACCAAAGCGACGGAGCTTCAGAGGAGGAAGACGGCGGCGAGCCCGAATAATCGCAGCGAATCTGCGTGGGGAGATCACGAGACCTGCGGCGAAGAAGGCGGAGCGAGGCAGAAGCGGGAGCGAGGAGCAAGGCGAAAGCAAGAAGCGGGAGCAAGGAGCGAGGCAGAAGCGGGAGCGAGGCGGAAGTGGAAGCAGGAGGGACAAGATGGAGGGACAAGGTGAATTAGGGTTTCTAAATACCAAATGTGTAGTTTATGTTTTAATTTTTAGGGATCCGGTTCCTGGTCCCGGTTCTTGGTTCCGGTTCCCGGTTCCCGGTTCCGATCCGGTTCCGGTTCCAGGTTCCGGTTCCGGTTCCTATAGGAACCGGGAACCAGAACCGGAACAGTTGGGTCATAAAAATGGGGAACCAAGAACCGGACCCTATGTCCATGGAACCTGGAACCGAACCGGACCCGGTTCCGGTTCTCCGGTTCCCGGTTCTACCCTGGAACCGCGCTCACCTCTAGCCAGAGGGAAAGCCAGATTGAAGAGAACCTGAAGCGCAATGGGGACCATCCATGCCTTGGCCTCCTTCTCTGGCAAGAACTGCTTAAAGAACAAGAATCCGATTGTGATCAATGCCGTGATGATAAGCGATGACATGACTCGAGCAACTTCGAACAAGATATCCCAACCGTGAGGTAACCCAGTAAATTCAACGAAGTACTTATCCAGCCCGGCACAGATGAGACTCAATGTTTTCACCGTAATTAGTCCGGTGATCAAGTGATGGACCCGATTCGTGGATTCCTTGTTGCAATAGCAGTAATAGGCCCAGAGAACTAAGAGGAAGAAGTAAGCAAGAGAGAACTTGAAGAATAGTGGAATTAGCCTCGATTGTCCATGCGAGAGGTAATTCTTGGAGCCGTCAAAGTCGGGATTGTACAATTCAGTGTGGACATTCATAGATACACGGGCCACCGGATCGCAGTTGACAAAGAACAGGGAGTATCCGCCGGGATAAGGAACGCAATAGGTTCTGTTAAAGAAGCAGTGTGGTGGTGGAGACAGGTTGCGGAAGGTGTCGAGAGCAACGATGTAGCGGGAATCGAGGATGCAGAAGTTAGGGTTTTGTCTGACTTCGAGGAGGGCTTGACTCTCAACTTCCTCCGAGAGAAGGAAAAGGCCCAAACGAGAAGGATTTGGACAGAGTAATAAACTAGTGACAGAGACATCGGAAACGGAGATTGTAACCTGGCCGAAGTGTGTGAAGGCGAACTTGTCGAGAAGGATGATCGGACGAGGATCGGAAGTTAGACGTAGGGTTTTGATATCGGCATCGGAATGGGAAATGAGAGAGATGAGAAGGAGCAGAACGTAATGCAGTTTCGCCATTTTTTCGCAGATCCCGAGTGTTGTCGTGGATCAGAGCGAGCTCAGGGCGATCCTCAGACAACTTTAAAGGGTCAGGGACAATGACCGACGTCGAAAGCAATGCAATGCACAAGCTGGGGATGTGAATTACAATAAGATGAGACAAGGTGACAAAAAGACATGCGCCTATGGAGGAGAAGTGTGTCCGGACAAGAGATGATTCCACTGAAAAAAGAGATGGCAAATGGCGAGAGAACAAGGCTACATTTATCTAAAGAGATCTACGAAGTAAAAGTCCATAACCCTCGGAAACTGAGACCTCGCAGGTTGAATAATAATGAAGAACATCATACTTTACTCACACTCACATTTTCGAAATCTGGTAACACCTAAATTTTAATTACCCGATTAAAATTATTGCACAAAAATTAGGGGTTAAATTTTAACCCCCAAACAAAAATATTTTCATTTAAATGCATGGGATATAAACATTAGGTGCATTTGCATAAATAGGATTTACTAGGACATATTTTCCTTTTTTCATTTTTTAAAAAATTAATTAATAAGTTTAAAAAAAAAAAAAAAAGGGAAACTGAGCCGAGGAAGACCCAGCTCGGCCTCCCTTTCCTCTCCCTCTCTCCCTCGCTGGGCCTAGCCTAGCCGCTTTCTCCCTCTCCCTGGCCCGGCCTCCTTCCCTCTCTCTTCCTTGCTTTTCCTCCTTCCCTCTCTCTTTCTTCCATTTCCTCCTTCCCCACGCAAGTTGACAAGAGCGGTGGACGCTGGAGAGCCAAGCAACGGGCAGAACGCTCCACAGCCAGGCAGAGGAGACGTAGAGCAAAAGGAGAGTAGAATAAGCAGGTGGCCGGCCACCATAAAAGCCGAGAGAGACAGAGAGAGAAAAGGGGGCTTGGATCGATTAGCTGGAAAAATTAGGGTTCTGAGGACAAAATTGAGGCTCGAAGGGTAAAAATAGGGTTGTCAGTGCAATCGTGGGGACGACGGTACTAGAGAAGGAATCATGCAATAGTGGAATTGTGATTGTGAGGATCTCAATTTGTTCAATCAATTCGGTGCGCTAGCTTTGTTGCTTTGTTTCCACTAAATGACAACCGCTGTGTCATTCTTTAATCAATTAGTTGCGATTGTGGGAACCTCCATATGAAGTTGTTGTCTTTTCTGCCTTGTAGTCCCAAAAGGTAATTATGTTTTTTTCCTTGGGTGCAGCGTCAGTATCGGGGACAAATCCTCATGCTTTCATGGAGTCTATAAACGTGTTTGATGTCTCGGGCGATGCGCATTGGCAGTTGCGGTTTGTGTAATATACCGGGGTGAGTACATCAGATCGTATACAAATATTCTTAGCTGGATTGTATCATTTCCTTTTTGTTATCATGCAACCTAGTCTCAGTTGACTGACATGGTCTTCATAATTATGTTACGCTTGCTACGTCTCTATGCTTTGGACTTCCGAGCAAGAAGAAGAAGAAGAAGAAGACGGCGGCAGCAACCTCCTAGTACCGCCGTCGTGCGGGTGCAGTCAGATGCTTCGGAGGTAAAAAAAGATGTCCGTCTCTTTTCTCCCTGTCATGTTCTCTTGCAACCATGCATTCACTAGTCACTAGCACATTGACTGATGCGATTACACACAGATAACATGCTTTTTTTTTTTTTTCCAAAAGACCAGTATTTTCCTCCAATTATGGGAGGAAAATTATCACAAACTTACAATTCATATTGGTTTTTACCAAAAATATATTATATAAACTCAGTCTATGTAAACCAACACCATCATACTAATTGAATGTGGGGCTCCAAAATAGGACCCACGTGGTCTATGGCTATGTAATAACTTCTTTAGTTCAGCGATTTAAGAAAAAATATATTATCACATTAAGCGGAGAAATGTACTTTATTTGCGAGATTGAATTATTACATAGATATTACAAGGCACTAATTTGTCCACTCGCAGCATGTCTCTACAGGTTGTTCTATTATTCGTCAACAACATATGTAGTGCAGAAAATATTCACCACAACCAGTTTAAATCTCAGAGAGAATATGGATACTTACTGAGAAATAAGTACTTGTGTCCTGGTTTCAAATATAATTGCTCCTCTCTCCTTCAAACCTCGGACTCTTCATTTGCTTCTGCCATTGTTTCTTCCTTCTCATCCTATGCGCGAAGAATAGTGTAATCATTGACCGGCCTAAACATACAAAGCGTGACCACATATATCGTCAGATTCGCACCGTCCTCCACCGCGTTGCTCACCCACTCGTACCTGAAGATCCTCAAAGCGAGTGCTACCATCGGCACGACATAAAAATAACCGATTGCCAAGACGTAGAACAAGGCAAACTTTTTAATCTTTGCCAATCTTATCGCCGCCTTCTCGTCAGTCTTTGGAACCTCCTTCAGCAACCAAATAGACCTCCCCGCGGTAACGAGGATGGTACACGTGCAGATCATGTCCAGCAAAGCCAGCACCAACGAAACGTTGGGCCAAGTGACTGCCATCATGACAGCAAAAGGGAAAGTGAGATTGGAGAGAACCGGAAGCGCAATGGGGACGATCCATACCTTGGCCTCCTTCTCTGGCAAGAACTTCTTGAAGAACAAGAATCCGATTATGATCATTGACGTGATGATAAATGATGACATCACTAGAGCAACTTCGAATTAAGATTTCCCAACCGTGAGGTGTCCCAGTAAGTTTAACGGAATACTTATCCAGCCCGGCACAGATGAGACTCAGTGTTTTCGTGGCAATTAGTCCGATGATCAAGTGATGGACCCGATTCGTGAATTCCTTGTGGCAAAAGCAGTAATAGTCCCAGAGAACTAAGACGAAGAAGTAAGCAAGAGAGAACTCGAAGAATAGTGGAATTAGCTTCGATTGTCCAGGCGAGAGGTAAGTCTTGGAGCCGCCAAGATCGAGATTGTACAATTCAGTGTGGACCTTCATGGATACACGGGCCACCAGATCGCAGTTGGCAAAGAACAGGGAGTATCCACTGGGACAAGTAACACGATAAGCTCTGTTAAAGAAGCTGTGTGGTGGCGGAGACAAGTCGTGGAAGGTGTCGAGAACGAGGATGTGGCACGAATCGAGGATGCAGAAATTAGGGTTTTGTCTGGCTTGGAGGACGGCTTGGATCCCAACTTCCTCCGAGAGAAGGAAAAAGTCCAAACAAGAAGGATTTGGACAGAGTAATGAACTAGTGAAAGAGACATCAGAAACGGAGATTGTAACTCGGCTGAAGTGTGTGAAGGTGAACTTATCAAGAAGGATGATCGGACAAGGATCAGAAGTTAGACGTTGGGTTTTGATATCGGCATCGGAATGGGAAATGAGAGACGGCATCAGAATGGGAAATGAGAGAGACGAGGAGGAGTAGAGCGTAATACAGTTTTGCCATTTCTTTTAAAGATCCTGAACGTTGTTGTGGATGGGAGCGAGCTGGGGCGATCCTCGGACGACTTTAAAAGGGTCTACTACTTCAGGAACAATGGCTGACGTCGAAAGCAATGCCATGCGCCCATGTAAAGGACAGGTATGTCCAGACAAGAGATGATTCTACAGAGGAAAGAGATGGCAAATGGCCAGAGAACTAAGCTACATCTATCCAAAGAGAACTACCAGGTAAAAGTCCATAACCCTCGGAAACTGAGACGTCGCCGGTTGAATAATAATGAAGAACATCCAACTCTACTCTACATTGTAAGTGATAAAGTAATCCTTTTATGCGGAAAATTTATGACATCTAGGATCTTAGATCTTCATGATTTTCACAATAAGAGATATGAAGACATACCTTTATCCATAGCGTTTCCCTTGAAGATAATTGTTGCAGAAAATGGAAGAAACGAAGAAATCTGATTTCTCTCCCTTACCCACTTTTCTCTTAACGTATCTTATCGATGGAGGATAAAAATAGAACGTTCTTTTCGTGCGTTATATTGGGTGGAGAGAGGACCAGACTCTATTTATATATACCCTTTTCAAGTGGTGCCTTCCATCAAAGCATATCCCACTTCATAAGAGTCGTACCTCTTCGGAGGAATTTTAACTTCTCAATAGAATTATACATTTTCATCTATTTTCATAGCCAATATGTTTTAGCACTTAAATATTTATTAAACCATTAATTCATAATATCATGTGGGCCACATTATTCTTACATTCTCCCACTTGGCCCATATGACCTTCCTTTCATGGTTTAATAAAGACCATAATGTGCACAATAACATTATGCTAAAACCTTTCTTAAATTGCCTATCACATAATGATCACAGTTCAATAAAGAAACTAATGCGAGTCATAGCGGTTGTATGCCATTAATCGACATAGTCCCTTCCATGTACTACAACTATAGCTCCCTACTTAAAATGATCCATAAATGATAAGTATAGTAATGGTCCAACTATAATGTCTCTGTTAGAGACTGTCCTGTTATACATTCATCTATTTCCATCATATATACCAAATAGAAAACAGTAAATATCATAAACACATAATTGAGCTCATAGTGTCAAATAAATAAACTTAATGCACTCAGAATACAATCATTAATGACATCCAATAATACCCATCCTTTCAACATGTTCTTTAAATATTTTGGGTGGCAATCCTTTTGTTAAGGGATCTGCAATCATAAGGTTGGTGCTAATGTGCTCAATTGACACTCTTTGTTTCTGAACTTTTTCTTTAACGGACAAGTATTTAATCTCCATATGTTTAGCACCATTGGAGTACTTGTCGTTCTTAGAGAAGAAAACTGCTGCAGAGTTATCACAGTAAATTTTCAGCGGCCTGGCAATACTATCGACAATCATAAGCCCTGAAATAAAGTTCCGCAGCCATATCCCATGAATAGTGGCCTCAAAGCATGCCACAAACTCAGCCTCCATAGTAGATGTAGCAATAACTTACTGCTTTGCACTTTTCCATGAAATTGCGCCTCCAGCCAAAAGATACAAGTAACCAAAAGTTGATTTTCTTGTATCGGTACATCCGGCGAAGTCTGAATCTGAATATCCAATCACCTCAAGATGATCAGATTTTTTATAAGTGAGCATGTGATTCTTCGTTCCTTGCAAGTATCTGAGAACTTTCTTTGCAGCTTTCCAATGATCTAATCCTGGGTTACTTTGATACCTGCCCAGCATTCCTACAGCAAAACTAATGTCTGGTCTGGTGTAAGTTTGTGCATACATTAAGCTTCCGACAACAGATGCATAAGGAATACTTTTCATTCGTTCTTGTTCCAATTCACTTTTCGGACATTGCATAAGACCAAATTTGTCACCTTTCTGAATTAGAACTGCTCCTGCTGAACATTTATCCATATTAAATCTCCCTAAAATTTTATCAATATAGGCTTTCTGAGACAACCCTAACAATCCTTGTGATCTATCATGGAATATTTCTATTCCTATCACATACGTTGCCTCTCCCATATCTTTCATTTCAAAATTTTTAGAGAGAAATTTCTTGGTTTCATGTAACAAACCAAGATCATTAGTAGCAAGCAAAAGGTCATCAACATACAGAACTAGAAAAATAAACTTGCTCCCACTGACCTTCATGTATATACACCGATCAACAGTGTTTTGCTTAAATCCAAAAGAAGTTATGGTATCATTAAACTTAAGATACCATTGTCAGGAAGCTTGTTTAAGTCCATATATTGATTTCTTTAATTTACACACCATGTGTTCCTTTCCTTTAACTGAAAAGCCCTCGGGTTGGTCCATATAAACTTCTTCCTCTAAATTCCCATTAAGTAAGGCAGTTTTAACATCCATTTGGTGTAACTCTAAATCGTAATGAGCCACCAAAGCCATAATGATTCTAAGTGAGTCTTTCTTGGAGACTGGTGAAAATATCTCCTTATAGTCAATGCCTTCTTTCTGAGTAAAACATTTAGCAACAAGTCTGGCCTTATATTGTTCGATATTACCTTTTGAGTCGCGTTTGGTCTTAAAGACCCATTTACACCCGACCTTTTTGCACCCTTCAGGCAATTCAACGAGATTCCAAACTTGATTTTGATCCATAGATTTTAACTCTTCTTCCGTGGCATTGAACCATTTAGTAGAATCATCACATTTCATGGCTTGTGAAAATGAACCTGGATCATTATCAATTCCTAAGTCAATTTCTGACTCTTGTAGATAAACCACGTAGTCGTTAGAAATAGCCGACCTCTTTTCTCTCTGAGATATTCTTAATGCTATTTCTTGTGGCTCAACTACTGTAGGTTCAATATTGACATTTTCATTATGAAGTGTTTGATCATTAATTTGTTGTTCTTGATTATTGTTGGGTTGAACTACAATATCAGGAACAACAACTTTAGAAGTTTTGGGTAGAGGAACTTCAACCCTAACTTCTTGAATGCAAACATCACGCATTCTTTCACTCCCACTAATGTCAACATTTTCAATGAACCTAACATTTCCGGATTCAACAATTCTTGTACTATGATTAGGAAAGTAAAACCTATACCCTTTGGATTTCTTTGCATAACCAATGAAGTAACCACTGGTTGTTCTTAAATCCAATTTCTTTTCATGTGGATTGTAAATTCTTACTTCTGCTGGACAACCCCAAACATGCAAGTGTCGTAAACTAGGTTTTCTTCCCGTCCACAGTTCAAAGGGAGTCTTTGGAACTACCTTACTAGGAACCCTATTTAATAAATACATAGAAGTCTTTAAAGCATACATCCACAATGATAAGAGTAGAGATGAATAACTCATCATACTCCTAACCATTTCCATTAAGGTACGATTACGCCTTTCTGCTACACCATTTTGTTGTGGTGTACCTGGCATTGTGTAGTGAGCACAAATACCATGTCTTTCAAGGAATTTAGCAAACGGACCCGGACATTGTCCCGATTTATCATACTTTTCATAATATTCACCACCTCTATCCGAGCGTACTATTTTCACCTTTTTATCTAATTGCCTTTCAACCTCTTTAATATACACCTCAAGTGCATTCACTGATTGAGATTTATCATGCAATAGATAAATATAACCATAACGTGAAAAATCATCAATAAAGGTGATAAAATAATTTTCTTTACCAAAAGATGGAACATCAAAAGGACCACATATATCGGTGTGTATGATTTCAAGAAGCTCTGTGCTTCTTGTGGCACCTTTCTTAGTGTGTTTTGTTTGTTTACCCTTAATACAATCTATACACACTCTAAGATCAGTAAAATCCAAATTTGGAAGAATTTCATTCTTCACTAATCTTTGCATTCTTTCTTTGGATATATGACCCAAACGTTTATGCCACAAGTAAGCAGAATTCTCATCCACTAAACTGTGTTTAGTGCCAACATTATGATGCAAGGTCATTAAAGTCTCAGCAAAAGCATTATCAAGTTTAAACTTGTAGAGACCATCACATAAAATTCCAGTTCCAATGAGATTATTATTCTTATACAAACTGAAAGACCCACAACCAAACTTAAAAGAGAATCCCGCTACATCAAGTTTTGGCAAAGAAACTAAATTGCGGGAAAAAGTTGGTACATAAAGGGTTCGAAACAAATCCAAATAATGCCCAGTATCTAAGATCAAACGATAAGTGCCAATGCCTTCAACTGGAGCTTTGTTTCTATTCCCCGTGAGCACATAATTCTCATTTGGCTTTATGGTTTGGATCGAAAGAAATCCCTGCATCATATTTGAAACATGAGTGGTGGCACCAGAATCAATTCACCAAGTATTATGAGGAACTTCAGTAAAGTTTGATTGAAAACATACTAAAGCACAAGGCTTACCTTTCTTTTCGAACCAAGCTTTACGCTTCAAACAATCTTTCTTCAATTGTCCAATTTTATTGCAAAAGTGACACTTAATAAGATTGTGTTCCTTCTTGTGGATTTGAGAAGCCTTAGAAGAGCCATTCAGGTTGTGTAAACCTTTCTTCTTGCTCCTTCCACCTTTCCTCTTGGAATTCTTCTCAGCTTCTTGATAACTTAAGAAATGAATAGAATGAGCCTTTTGATTCTTTATCCTTGTTTCCTCTTGAACAAGCATACTGGCCAATTCATTTACATTCCACTTGTCCTTTATAGTGTTATAATTCATTTGAAATGGCCCATATTATTCATGAGGCAAGGAATTAAGTATGAACTGTACTAAAAAGTACTCATCCACGTTCATTCCCAAAGTCCTTAATTTTGCCGCTAAGTTTGTCATCTCTAGTACATGTTCATACATGGTACGTGAACCATCATATTTCATGGTGGTCAAAGTACTCATCAATATACCAGCTAGTGACTTATCAGCAGTTTGAGAACGCTCTTCCACAAATTTCATAAATTCCTTAGCATTGTT